AGAAGGAGCACTTCTAGAGTCACTCTATGAAACAAGCACAACCCTAAAACCAAAACCAGGAAAAGATACTACAAAAAAAAGAAAACTACAAACCAGTATCTTTCATGAATATAGATGCAAAAATCCTTAACAAAATCCTAGCCAATAGAAACCAAAAGCACATACAAAAAATAATTCACCATGACCAAGTGGGATTCATAACAGGTATGCAAGAATGGGTCAACATAAGAAAATTAATCAATGTAATTCATATTATGTAATCAATGTAATTAATATTAACAAAGTAAATAACAAGAACCATATAGTCTTGGCAATTGATGAAGAAAAGACATTTGACAAAATCCAACACCCCTTCCTGATTATGGCACTCAGCTTAATTGGAATAAAAAGAAATTTCCTCAATATAGTGAAAAGATATATGCAAAACCAACAGCCAACATCATCTTCAATGGAGAAAGTCTAAAAGCATTTTCCTAGCAAGTAAGGACCAGAGAAGGATGGCCACTGTCACCATTTCTATTCAATATTGTATTGGAAGTGCTTGCTAGGGCAATACAACAAGAGAAGGAAATAAAAGGCATATGGATTGGAAAAGAAATGATTAAACTATCTCTATATGCAGATGATATGATAGTGTACACAGAAAACTCCAAAGATGTAACAAAACCCAGTTAAAATGGTTGTTGTTATGTGCTGTGTAGTGACTTGCAACCCATAGTGACCCTATGTAGAGCATCTCTGAACCCCGCCCTATCTTCAGCTAGTCTCATTAATTCTGACACACCAACCAACCTCTCTCTCCCACATTGCCCCAGTTACTGTACCAATCCATCTCATCTGGGGTCTTTCTCTTCTGCACTGTTCCGCCACCCTTCTGATCATGATGTCCTTCTCAAAGGATTGGTCCCTCCTGGCCACGTGACCAAAGTATGTGAGACAGAGCTTCAAAATCCTACCCTCTAAGGAGAAACTTGGTTTCACCCTTTCTAACATAGACCTATTTGTTTTCTTGGCAGTCCGTGGTATGTTCAAAACTCTTCTTCAGCATCACAGTTTGAAGGCATCAATTCTTCTGCTGTCATCCTTATTGTTATGGAACAGCTCTCTGATGCACTTATCAAGTAATTGCGATGACCATGGCCTCATGACATCGTTGATTTTCAGTACTCTGGAGAGGTCCATGAAAGCAGCTTTTTCCAAGGCTATTCATTTTTTTTATTTCCTGACTGCTGGTGTTAAGAGTGTTGTTATTGGAGTTGAGCAAGCTGTAATTGTTAACAATCTCCATCTCTTCTCCATCTTTCGTGGTGCTGCCAATGGGCTCAGTGGTGAGAATCTTTGTTTTCTTGATGCTGAGCTTCAATCAATAATGAAGACTACAGTTGTTGATCTTCTGCAGCAAGTGCCTCAGGTCTTCTTCAGTTTTAGTAAGCAAGGTTGTGTCATCTGCATAACATAGGTGGTTGATGAATCTTCCTCTAATCCTGATGCCACATTACTCCTCATAAAACCTAGCCTCCCAGGTGATCTATATGTTCTGCATATAGATTGAAAAGGTATGGAGATAGGAAACATTCCTGGTGTATATCCTTCCTGGTTTTGAACCATGCAGTGTTGCCTTTCTCTGTTCTGACGACTACCTCCTGGTCCAAGTATAGGTTTTGCGTAAGCACAATCCATTCTCAATTGTGCTTCACACAATTTTTTTTTTTACTTTGCAAAGTCAATGAAAAACAGATAAACATTCATCTGATACTCTCTGCTTTCAGCCAAATTCCATCTATCATTAGCTATAATATCTCTAGTACCATGGCCTCTTCTAAACCCAGGCTGCATGAGATTACTGCCTCTGAAAATCTGCTAGAGTGTCACTTATGGGTTGATTTCAACTCTACAGTACATAACAACAACACCAGACACGAAAGACCTTTACAAAGAAAACTACAAAACACTCCAATGAAAAACAATAAAAGAACTAAATAAATGGGAAAATGTTCCCTGTTCATGGATAGGAAGACTCAATATATTGAAAATGACAATCCTACCAAATAAAATCTATATATTTAACATAATTCCATTGTTATTGTCATTATGTGTCATTGAGTCACCTGTGATTCATAGTGACTCTATGTACAACAGCTCTGAAGCCTGTGCTGTCCTGAACCAGTCTCACTGATTCTGACATGCCTATGCCCATTGTCCCAGTTACTGTATCAATCCATCTCCTCTGGAGTCTTCCTCTCCTGCACTGTCCCTCCACTTTTCTGAGCATGATGTTCTTCTTCAAGGATTGGTCTCTTCTAGCCAAAGGCCAGAGTATGTGAGACAGAGCTACAAAATCCTAGCCTCCAAGGAGAAATTTGGTTTCACCCTTTCCAATGCAGATCTATTTGCTTACTTGGTGGTCCATGGTATGTTCAAGACTCTTCTCCAGCACCACAATTCAAAGGCTTCAATTCTTTTTCTGTCATCCTTAGTCATTGTCCAGCTCTCTGATGCATAGCAAGTAATTGTGAAGACCATGGCCTGGATCAGGCACATCTTAGTCTCTAGACTGACATGGTACTTCTCAGTACTCTGGAGTGTCCCTGACGGCAGATTTTTCCAGTGCAATTTGTCTTTTCATTTCCTGACTGCTGGTGCCAATAGTATTGATTGTGGAGATGAACGAGCTATAATCATTAACAGCCTTAATCCCTTCTCCCTCTATCATGGTTCTGCCAATTGTCTCAGTGGTGAGAATATTAGTCTTCTTGATGTTGAGCTTCTATCCATATTGAAGACTATAGTCCTTGACTTTCTGCAGCAAGCACTTAAGGTCCTTCTCAGTTTCAGCAAGCAAGGTTGCATTATCTGTAAAATGCATGTTGTTGATGATTTTCCCTCCAATCTTGATGCCACATTCCTCCTCATAAAGCCGTGCCTCCTAAGCGCGCCCCAGGGCGGCAATGCGCGGCACATGCACGTGTGTGCGCTCACCCAGAGCCTGCAGGGCTGGCTGTGGGGCCTCGCGCTGGACGCAGGGTCCTAGGTAGAAGACCAGTCTTCCACTGGGAGGTGACAGTGATTTATGAGTGGGGCTCTCTGTCAGATACAGTCACGTTTTCAAGATGTCTTACATGCTTCCACATCTACACAATGGCTGGTAGGTGGACCAGGCCATCCTGTCTGAGGAGGACCTCATTGTGGTCATTCAGTTTGGACACGATTTGGATCCTACTTATATGAAAATGGATGAGGTTCTCTATAGCATCGCTGAAAAGGTTAAAAATTTTGCAGTTATTTATCTTGTGGATATTACAGAAGTACCTGACTTCAACAAAATGTATGAGGTATGTGATCCTTACACTGTCATGTTTTTCTTCAGGAAGAAGCACATAATGATTGATTTGGGCACCAGCAATAACAACAAGATCAATTGGGCCATGGAGGATAAGCAGGAGATGATCGACATCATCGAGACTGTTTACCGAGGGGCACGCAAGGGCCGAGGACTGGTTGTATCTCCCAAAGACTACTCTACCAAGTACAGATACTAAGCTCTGCTCTGTGTAGATGTTGTGGAGTCATTTCCATGTACAACGACTGCTGAGAGCCTTTAGGAAAGTTTGTGCAATTCAAGGAACCAGAATGTTTTTGAAGGAAGGAACTGAATAGCCTTAAATTTTCAGTCTGCCAGTCCATTGTATTTTTATATCGACAAATAATTGTAAATACCTAACTAAAATAAATACAATGCAAGGTGGTGAACCATTAAAAAAAGCCGTGCCTCCTGAATGATCTGTTCTGTATATAAACTGGAAAGATGTAGAGATAGGCACATTCCTGACACATTTCTTTCCTGATTTTGAACCATGCAATGTTTCCCTGCTCTGTTCTGAGGACTGCTTTCTGGTCCATGTATAGGTTTTACATAACACAATCAAGTTCTCTGGAATTCCCATTTTCCTCAAGGTTAGCCACAATTTGTTGTGATCCACACAATCAAATGAATAAATTGTTGATTGTACACAATTCTATCATTCTGTCTCCAAGCTATGTTTTCTGACTACTGATCCTTCTTTTCTGTTCCCAACTTCTGCATTCCCATCACCCATTATTATGAATGAATCTTGATTGCATGCTCAGTTGATTTCTGATTGTAAAAGTTGGTAGAAATCTTCTATTTCCTCTCATCAACAACTTGTGTTATGCAGATGACACAACCTTGCTTGCTGAAATGGATTAAGACAGATGTTTGCTGCAGAAGATCAAGGACTGTAATCCTCAATATGCACTGAAACTCAACATCAAGAAAACAAAGATTCTCACCACTGAGTCGGTCAGCCGCTTCATGATGGATGGAGAAGAAACTGAGGTTGTTGATAACTTCAGCTTGCTTGGCCCCACAATCAACACTCTTGATACCAGCAGTCAGGAAACCAAAAGACGAGTTGCACTGGGAATGTTTGCTGTCTAGGGCCTCTCTAGAGTACTGAAGAGTAACAATGGAAACTAAGTCTGGAAACTTAGTCTGGAGGTGTGCCTTATCCAGGCCATGGTCTTCACAACTACTTGTTATGCATCTGAGAGCTAAGGATGATAGAAAAAGGGTCGATACCTTTGAGGTGTGCTGCTGGAGATGAGTGTTGAACAAACAAACTTTGGACTGACAGGAGAACAAATAAGTCTGTCCTGGTGAGGGTGAAACAAGATTGGTTCTTGGAGGCAAGGATTTTGAGGCATCTCACATAATTTGGTCATTTGGCCAGGAGGGACGAGTCCTTGGAGAGGGGCATCATGCTTAGAAAGATGGAGGGACAGTGCAGGAAAGGAAGACTCAGAATGAGATGGATTGACTCAGTAACTGAAAGAATGGAATTATATCTGTTTGGAGACAATGAGATTGGCTTAGGATAGGGCAGGTTTCAGAGCTAGTATACATAAGGTTGCTATGAGTTGCAGGTGACTCGATGGCACATAACAACAACAACACGTTGAAATGAGAACACATATCATACCAAGTAATGGAATCTGCATCCCCTAGGATTTCTCTGATTTCTTCTCGGCATTTCTGCTGATACTCAGGGTATTTGGCCATGCAGTAAAATATCCAGGAGATGGCACTTGATGTCGTGTCGTGTCCAGCAAACATAAACGTGTTCACTTCAGCCTGGAGGTCAGCTTCAGAGAAACTTTTTGGGTCTTCAGCCTAAAATAGTCATTACAATTTTTATTTAAATTTGGTTACCCCCTTTATTCATAGCATTGATCATAAAAAGACAATCCTTTAGCATTGAAAATTAATTTGGTTTAACTAATATGGTATGTTATTGTTATGTGCCATTGAATTGAAATCAACTTATAGCTGACCTTGCAGCAGGTTTTCAGAGGCTATCAATTGCATGAGAAGAGATTGCTCATCTTTCTCTCTTATAGCTGCTGGTGGATTTGAACTGCCTGCCTTTGAGATGACAGCATTATTTTGTTTCTTTTTCTTCACAAATGTCAAAGTATAAAAATTAAATTTATGTCACAATATCAAACTTTGGAAACAAATTATCAGGATTCAAGTGGACAGAATGAATCAAGAGTCTTACAAGGTTCATTTCTTTTGACTCAGCAATTTTATTAAAGAAGTAACTCTAAGAAAATGTTTTCTGAAATTACACAGAAATTGTATCTATAAGCATGTTTAAAACCATAGTAAAAAACTGGGAAAAATCTAAATGATTAATAGATATGCAAAGGGAAATTTTATTATGGTGCAACTATAAAATAGGATATTATGCAACAATAATTTTGCTTTTGAATAATATCTTAATGAAAAGGGAAAGTAAATGATTTAATATTAGAATTAAAAATAGTAAATAAAAAATAAATGATAAATGTATAGATATAAAATGCTATAAAATATTTTTAACAAAATAGAAATATTTTCTTATTTATGGAACATTTATTTTCAAATTATATATTTAAAACTAGAAAAATATTATTAGTTCTTGAAAATGTTACTAAGTATTTTTAATAATAAAATATAAATATAGAATTACAAATATGAAATTTTATATACACACACAAAATAGAAAAAACCCAAAGGAAAACTATGAGCTTTATTATCAAGTAAGAATGAAAGTAGTTTATTCCCCTTTATAGTACTTGCTTTATTTAATTTATGATTAAGTGAATATTTATTACTTTTGCTTTTTGTTGGGTTTTCATCCAGGCATTCATATACACTTTGTTTATAATATTAATTACAACTGATTATTGAGAAGGTATTATTTTAGAAGTCATTGGTTCCTGGCAACTCTATTGAGCTTCCAAATACGGCCATATCTCTTAGTATCCTGTTCTCAATAGTCATGACTTTAGTAGGACTCATGATTTACATGAAAAAAAACTAGCCAAACAAGAAAAAATTTGTTCAAGGAGTAGTAATTATTTCTTCAAGTAATTCTATGCAATTTAGTTTAATAAATCACAAAGAGTTGGATATTAGGGTGGAAAATTATGCTTACATCAGCTTGATACAATGCAAAGGGCAGAAAACAAACTTGCATAGACTTTCTTAAATTCTAGGTTTGTTATTTTGTAGTTATGTGACCTTGAGCATTTGTCCTTTGAACCAGAATTTCTCTTTGCTTAAGTAATGATACCTGTAAACATCATGTTTTAGGACAATTTGTTTTGGAAAAAAATTATAGAGGGTTGGGACATTAGTAAAAATTGAAAAGCCCTGTATTTTTTCTTTTAAAAATGCACTTTCACCTATTTCTATTGTTTTCTTTTACATGTATCAGTCTTCTTCAATATATGTTCCAAATTCATCTATACCATATTGCTAACCTAGTAGCAATAATAAACTCAAACTCAGAGTTGTAACTGTTTGACTCATACCAACCCTTCATCGGGTTTCCAAGGTTGTAAATCTTTAGGGGAGTAGACTTCCTTCCTATCTTTCTCCTGGAAGAATTAAATCACCAGATTCATGTTCTTTGGGTTAGCAGTGAAATTCACTATGGAAATTTTTATATATTGACTGATTGCTAATATTACAGAGATTATTACATTTTATTCACTCAAATGGAAACTACACCTCTTCCTTTTTATTAAGGAAGAAATGGATTCCGAGAAGTAAAATATCTTGCCCAAACTTACATAGCTAATATGCATCAGCCAGAATATTTGAATGTACATCTTACTAATTGTAAAGCCCTATATTTTTCTCATTAATAGCAAAGTGATATATTTACTGGCCAAGCACTAAACACTGTGCTAGTCACTAGGGATACGGGAAGAAAATATAATCTTCTGCTAATAGCACTATATCATGGCATGAAGGAGGAATAGTGGAAATGTATCCACATTTACAACATTCCTCTTACCAAAACCACTTATGGAAAATAGGAACTGCATTGGAACATGTATCTCTGGATTGGAAATGATGATATTGCTAATATTTCTAGCCTTAAGCTTAAAAGATTATAATGTTCAAAATTATTTATTGTACATTTGTTTAAATCTTTCCCTATTTTAGGGGAGTCCTGGTGGCCTATTGGCAAGGAGCTGCAACTACAATCCCAGAGGCGCACGGTTTGAATCCACCAGATGCTCTGCCGGGGAAGGAGGGGCAAGCTCCTCCTGTACCAGTCAGATCTGATTTGACGGTACATGCACACAAAAATAATAAAATAAAAATTAAAAAAAAATCTTTCCCTATTTTAACAACTGGGATCTAGAGGGAAGAGAAAAGACCAGAGAATGGCCAAAATTATTGGGGCAGTTATTGCTTCCAGTTTAGGACCTGTGTCAGGAAAAGGAAGTCTTACTCATATACAGTGCCACCCAAAGGTAATAAAGGAGGTCAGAATTGCTTCCACTGTGGAAAGCTGGGCCACTTCAGTAGACAGTGTCACAGACTAGAGCCACAGATAGGCAAGGGTGTAGAGAGGAAGCTCCCACTCACTTGCTTTAAGTGTGGATCTGAAGGACACTTGGCCATGGGTGACCCACATCAGGTCCTTGTGGCAGACAGGACTGACAGGCCCCAGCTCCCAGCTGGAAACAAAGGAGGACACTTCAATGATTTAGATCCTCCCAGAAGATCTGTGGGTAAGCATTAACATTACTGTTAAGTATATTCGTTTTCTCCTGGACACAGACCTACTGAGGTCCCAACTCTTCTCACTATTTCTTAGTTGTTGGAATGGACAGAAAACCTCATAAGCAGTTCCTTCCTTCACCTCTGCCTTGCATGCGGACTTCAGAGTTGTAAAGCAACCCAGTGGTAGATGGAATTTGCTCCAGGACTTAAGAACAGTAAATGACATAGCTGAGCCTCTACATCCTGAGGTTCCTAACCTCTACACTATAATAGACAAAGTGCTAGTCAATAGGTCTTTCGTTGTAAGAACCACCTTCCCTTTGTAACTTGATTTATGCCACTATTAGAACCTCTACTCGGAATATTATTGCTTTTTAATTTTTGACTCATGTACTTTTAACTTGTTAGTTAAATTTGTGTCTTCTAGGCTGCAACACTTCCATGATACATCTTCAAGGATATGAATATGTATGGCTAAGCACAACTGATAACAGCGCATCTAAATTCCAAAATCAATCTCCATCATAGTCTATGTGTTTCCTACTGCCAAAGGGGCCCTTTAGAGTAGTGAGAGAATATCTTCACCCTGAAACCTACAGCGTCCCTTTTCAGCAGGAAGTAGCTAAGATAATGCGCCATCCCCTTTTCCTTATGACTCAGGGTGAAGTCTCTCTCAGGGAGGAGTTATAGGGAATGGCAAAGGACACACTGACAAAGGAGATTAATCAGAACTGGCTTTGACAAGCACTGTGGCAATTGGACAATTAAAACAGACATTGAAGGGGGGCAAAAAAAAAGAACGATCTGGGGAGGAGGGTAGAGTAAACAGTTCAACAATGAATGAATGAAAACCCAAAATCTCTGTAAATGTTTATTAAAAGTAATAAAATTTAATAATAATAAAAAAATATAATCTTTGTAATCTCACACAAAATTTTTTAAACGTCAGTTTGAGAGGAGTCACATAGAAATTGGTTAACATTTAGATTCTAACTCATTAGGTCTAAGGTAGGTTGTGACTGTCTATATTGTTCACAAGCCAGGTTTCATCAGTGCTGCCAGTCTATATAGTGTCCCATGTTGAGGAAGAAAGTTCTAGGAGCATGTGACATTGGGGAAAGATAGACAATGTACATGTAATTAAAATGTGCTAAGAATGACAACAGGGAGCTCTTTTGGCTTAGTGGTTAAGGAATTTCACTGCTAATACAAAGGTACGGGGTTTGAATCCACTAGCTGCTCTGCAGGAGAAACACAGGTAATCTCCTGTGCAATCTACTGCTTCAGAATTGACTAGTTGGTCATCTGTGAGTTAATTCTGACTTGATGGTATGCAGCACAATAAGAACAACAATAATGATAATATTAGTGATGTGAGGAAAAACACATGGAGGGAACAAGGAAGCTTATGTTTAGGTTCAGTTAATCAGATAAGATTTCTGATCTATTTCTTTGTTTTGTCTTTTGCTATTTAATTATTCATCTGAGTGTGCAAAAATGTTTGAAAAACTTACTCTAGCACTCATAAGAATGTCCAGAAAATCTCTAAAATTGTCTTTCTGAGTAGCATCATAGTTCAGTTCATTGTTGTATGACTCCTCCCGTTTTTTGATTAGTTTTTCTAGAAGAGAAAAAAAGGGGGGGGGAGTTAATTACCAATGTAACCACAAAGCTGAGGACACATTTTAGAGATACGAGGGTTCCATGGAGAGACTGTGCCCTTACACTACCTTCTAGTGTTGGAAATAGGCAGCAATGCCAATTATTTATTTTCTTTATTATAAGGTCATCTTTGACTGACAGAGATTTTAGTTTTTGGGTCACAATTTATCTTAAGACAATCTTAGGATAATTTATCTTATATTAAGTTCAGAAATGCCATCTAGGGTTATTGCAAGAAAGTTTGGAGATGTTCAACACACATAGTGTTCAAATGTTGTATTGTCTATGTGATAACAGATGGTTTTTATTGTCTGAGTTAAGCTATTGTTCAGATGCAACCCTGGAACACTGCATGGTATAAAATCAGGAAGGGTGTGTGTTAGGAATGTGTCCTTCCTTCATACCTATTCTATTTGCATGCTGAGTAAATAATTTGTGAAAAAGAATGTAGCATCAAGATTTGAGGGAGACTCATTAACAACTTGCATTATGCAGATAACACAATCTTGCTTACTAAAAATGAGTAAAAGATCTGAAGTGCTTGCTCCAGAAGATTAAAGACTAGAGCCTTCTATATGGATTACATCTCTTATCAAGAAAACAAAGGTCTTTACCACTGAGCAAAGAGATAACATCCTGATAGATAGAGATAAGATTGAAACTGTCAATTATTTCCTCTTACTTGGATCCACAATCAACAGCATTGGTATTAGCAGTTAGAGACCAGAAGACACATTTCTTTGAGTAAGTCTGCTCTTAAGGACCTCTTCAAAATACTGAAGAACAGTGAAGTAAATTTGAAGACTAAGGTGCACTTGATTAAGACCATGGTCTTTTTAATCACTTACTATGCATGTATGAGCTGGGCAATGAATAAGGATAACATAAAAATGGATACCTTTGAACTGTGGTGTTGGAGAAGAGTAATGAATATCCCATGGATTTCCAAAATAAGTAATAGACATGTCTTTGAAAGGGGACAGAGTGCTCCTTGGAGGCAAGGATGGCAAAGTTTTATCTCTCATACTTTGGACATGTTGCTAGAGTAGAGAGCCTATTCTGAAAAGGGATACCATACTTGGGAAGTTAGAGTGTCAGCAAAAGAAAGGAAGACCCCTAACAAGGTGGATTGACATTGTGACTGCGCTCAAGTGTATCAGAGATGATGAGGTTGGCACAGGATAGAACAGGATTTAAGTCTGTTGTACTTGACTCATCAACGTCTCACAACAACAAGTCATATCTGGTGGCCTATTGGTAAGAAGCTGCACTATTATCCCATATCATACAGTTTAAATTCACCAGCTGCTCTGTGGGAAAAGGATAGGCAATTTCCCATTTACTGCCTCTGAACTGTGGCAAACAAAAACAAATATATATTTACACTATCATATTATATATCATGCATTGTGGCTAGTACTTTTTTGTGTATTAAAATGAGAAAACTGATGTTCAGAAATAGTATTTATCTCATCCACGTTTGTTGTTGTTAGGTGCCATACAGTTGAGTATGAGCCTATGGGCAACAGATCTGAACGTTATCCTATCTTGTGCCATCCTCACACTTCCTGACACACTAGAGCCCACTGTGGCAGTCACTGTGTCAATCCACCTGGTCAAGGGTATTTTCTCCTTCACCCTCTCTCTGCCTTTCCAAACATCATGTCTGTCTTTAAGGAATAGCCCTTCCTGGCAACATGCCCAAAGTGTGTGAGACAAAGCTTTATCATTTTTGCCTCCAAAGGCTGTACCCTCTCCAAAATACAATGCTTGTTTTTTGGCAGTCTGTGGGATGTTCAGTGCTCTTCTCCAATACCACAGCTCAAAGGCATCAATTCTTCTTCTATCATCCTTATTCATTGTTCAGCTCTCAGATATATAGCAAGCGATTGGAAAGACCATGACCTGAATCAGACACACCTTAGCCCTCAGACTGACATCATTGCTCTTCAAACACTCAGAGAGGTCCATAACTGCAAACTTTCCCAGTGCAATGCATCTCCTAATTTCCTGACTGCTGGAACCAAATGTGTTGATTGTGGATCCAAGTAAGATGAAGTTGTTGACAGTTTCAATCTTTTCTCTATCCACTGTGATGTTGCCTATTTTCTTGATGCTGAGATGCAATCCATATTGAAGGCTGTATTCTCTGATCTTCTGTAAGAAACAAGTGCTTCAAGTCCTACATACTTTCAGCAAGCAATGTTGCATCATCTGCATGATGCATATTATTGATGAGTCTTCCTCTGATCTTGATGTCACATTCTTCTTGATCGAGTCCAGCTTCTCAAATAATTTGTTCAGCATACAAATTGAATAGATATGGATAGGGAATATAATCCTGACGCACTCCTTTCTTTATTTAGTGTTCTCATGCTCAGTTTGCACAACAGCCTCTTGGTCTAGGTACAGGTTTCACCTGAGCACAATTAAGTGCTCTGGGATTCCCATTCTTCTCAATGTTGGCCATAACTATTATAATCCACGCACTCTAATGCCTTTGCATAGTCAATAAAGAATAAGTAAACATTCTTCTGCTATTATTTTCAGCCAGGATCCATCTGCCATCAGCCATGATATCCCTGGTGCCACAACTTCTTCTAAATTCTGCTTGAGTTTCTGGCAATTCCATATCTATATGCTGTTCTAGTTTTGAATAATCTTTAGCAGTATTTTGCTTGAAGTTGATATTAATGATATTGTTTCATAGTTTCCACGGTCTGTTGGATTACCTGTGAATGGGAATGGGAACAAATATAGACCTCTTCCAATCTGTTGGCCAGACAAATTTTCTGGCATAGACTGGTAAGCATATCTAGGCTGCATCTGTTAATGGAAACAAGTCAATTGTATCCTTTCATTTCCTGGGCTCTTATTTTTTGCCAATACCTTCGGAGAAGCTTATATTCCCTCCTTCATTACTATTGGATTCTACTTGAAAAGCTAAAAGTAACTTTTACTTAGGCCTAACTAACTCATGTATCTTGTAATTTTCCACTGCCTGGGGTTTGAACTCGTTTGTATGCTTAAGAATTTGTGAAACCACCATGTACTCAATGTTCCAAGAAATGGCTAAATCACATGTACCCTGTGTTCTGAGAACTAGCTAACCACAAGGGTTAGGCAAATATCACATGTACCCTGTGTTACGAGAACTAGCTAACCACAAGGGTTAGGCAAATATGTTGATGTCTTAAGATCTGTCTAACTGCCACATGTGTAAAAATAAGATATTGTGCAAATATGCTATGTAATCCGTATATAATGCTGAACCAATGGATTTAAACTGTGTCCAAATCACCCAATGAGAAACTAGTGCCCTTATGAATCCCTCTAGAGGGTATAAAAAGAGCTGAAATTGTCTGTTCGGGGTCGACTCCTCTGTCTCTTGTGAGAGATACAAGTCGTCCTGGAGCGCTCCACAATAAACCTCTTGCTTTTGCATCAAGTCGGTCTCTTAGAGTTGTTGGTGTCGCTGCCCGTCAGAAACAAGACCATCTGTTATGGGGTCTTACATACTCAGACGGTTGTTGTTGTTGTTTGGTGCCATCGAGTTGTAGACGACTCATAGCGACCCTATGAATGAAAGGCCTGATCATTATTCATAGGGTTTCCGGAGGCAAGCCATTTCAGAAGTGGATGCCGCTCCTGCTTCCAGGCTTGTTTTAGTTGGGAAGCTCCAGAAAACACTGTCCACCCTGGGTGACCATTACCACATTTGGAACATCAGTGTCACAGTGGTAAGCATCATAGCAACCACGAGTTACCTCCGTACAGCAATGCACAGACCAGTGCTACGCTATACCACCTAGAAGAATGTTTAACAGGAAAACAATTTGAACCTGGCCTGAGGGCCACAGATTAAAATCACCCACCTTCGGTTTGGTAGCATAACTCCATGTGCGTGCACAGGTATAATGGCAAGTTTTTGGAGTCATGTGCTTTTTCGGGCTTGGGTTTGACTTGGAGGACTGCTTTGCTACCCCCCCCCTCCCGTCGCCCCAGGAGTGAGGCCCTCCAGGCTTGGCCTATGGTTTAAGGCAGGAAGGGGCTTCAAGCCCCAACAGGGGAGGGGAGTGAAGGCAGCCATGCTCTTCCTGGTTGGCTCCTCCCAGAGTATTCTGTGACTTCTTGCTGACAGAGCTTAGTGTGGTCTGCACAAGTATTATGGCAAGTTTTTGGAGTCGAGTGCTTTTTCAGGCTTGTGTTTGACTTTGTGTGTGTGTGACTCAGATGATACTTCCTGAAATTTTTCAGTGTCAGTCAGCTCTTTCTAGTACAGTGACTCTTTGTATTCCCTCAATCTTCTTTTGATGCTTCTTGAGTCATTCAATATATTTCCCATAACATTTTTCAATATTGCGACTCAAGGCTTCTATTTGTTTTTCAGTTCTCTCAGCTTGAGGAACGCAGAGTGAGTTTTTTCCTTTTTATTTGCCAATTCCAGCTCTTTGCACTTTCCATTATAATGTTTTGCTTTGTCTTTTTGAGCAGTCCTTTGAAATCTTTTGTTCAACACTTTTTCTTCGGCATATTTCCCATTTTGGCTTTTTCTTTCTCCTGTGTCTTTGTAATGACCCTTCACTCTCTTCAAAGATGATATCCTTGATGTCATCCCACAACTCATCTAGTCTTTGATCACTGGAGTTCAATGTGTCAAATTATCCAGGCTTACCATTGAAGAAGGTGGGAAGAAAATAATCTTTTTGGGAAAATAATGGTTGAATATGCCACTCTGATTATCTGTGTCTGCCAATCTAGAATTATATTCTGGTGGAAATTTTCTTATTACAGGAATATGAATAAAGTTGGTTTTACGCAAACAAAATTAGGGAGAACTCATCACTAGCAGATCCACTTTAGAAGAAATACTGTAGGGAGCTTTGAGAAAATGGAAATTTATAACAGGAAATAAAGAAATCCACATAAATTCACAGAGGACAAGCAGAATTAAAACAT